AATTTTGAATAGGAAGGTTATTTTCGAAAAGTTGATAGTTTTCCAGTTGTAAGCACAAAACTACCAAAAAATATCTTTTTCAACTTCTTTTGTATTTTTTTCAATGTTGCGTCATGAAATTTTGTTAGCAAACCTCAGATTCGGATTCAGCACCCCAAAAAACATATAGAATCAAAGAAATCAAAACTACCCCACAACTTTCCTGGTAAAAATACAATTTAACTGGATTACTTATAGATTTGTTTGTAAACTTGGATTTAATACGAGGACCTTTCTAAGTTTCTACCTATGACGTAAATGCTAACAAGGCTACTTTCTAATGTATTTTACCTGAAACCGTCAAGAAAATCTAAATTTCAGGGCTATTTTGACATTAGAAAGTTGATCTTTACCTGACTAGTACTGTAATATTTTTGCCTGACGCCCATTACAGTCCTAGTACATGCAAAATAACAATTAGATCATTCGTTGAATAAGTTATTCAATCAACGATTGGATAATTATAATGCAGACTATGTGGATATTTTTAAATATTAATATACCTACACAAAGGATAATGGTTTTTTATTACGAACAATTAATGGAATATGTGTGGAAGTAATTATTCCTTTAGTTTTGCGCCAGTCATTAAAAGGTTTCTACGCCTTTTCGTACCTTTTTTTTGACTTTGTGGGGAGTGAATATTTCACTACAGCGGCCGCAGCTTCGGCTACATTATAACAACGTCTTGCATAGGTACTCTTCTTCACTGATACTGCTGTTGTACCTAGTTATAAAGACTGTATAGTTGAAAAGTACAAAGTATAAACTGAAAACTGCGTTAAAAATGACACTGACTGTTTTAATTATTTTGAAATCTCTATGGAAACAATTAAATACAGTGATTTTAGCATGCGTGATTAGGTATCAAAATTTCACACATGAATAATTTAATTTGGACAATTCAACTCATGTATAAAAAATCGCATAAGCCGCAGTGCAATTGTCACCTTGACAGCGGCAAAAGTTACCTGCAACTTTTCCAGCGACAAATGCACTAGTGGTTTTTTCACTTATTCATTTTCGAACCAATAATCGCATTATCCTTTCCCATATGACTAGTTTGACGTCTGTCAATAATTGATTAATTTGGTGAATTTCTTGTTCGTTAAATTGTCCTGCCGAATTACACTCGAGGTTTGTATTTAAACCGAGTAAATTTGGGTTGTGGCAATTCAAATCTGTTTCCTTTTAGCAATTGGACTCGAAAAACTGTCAACCTAAAAATGCTCCACCTGCGGTGTCGCATTTTTATTAGTTGACAGTTTTTCTCGTCTAATTACTAGGTAACAGATTTTCATTACCTAAACAACCCAAATTTACTCGGTAAAATACAAACCTCTTGTGCAATTATAAGTGAAAAATTTTCTACATGTTGCGGTTTCAGGTAAAATTTTATACATAATATGTCATGAAAGTGAGTCTTCCTGACTTGGAGGCATTAAAGAGATACTCGGACGCTACGCGTCCTCGTACTTTTCAATAAACCTCCGCGTCATGTAAACGACCACTTTCATGACTTATTATGTAAATAACTATTACCCAAAATCATCATGAAACCTTCATTTTCATGCCTACTATTTTATGTCACTTTACCGGCCGCACCTGTCACATTGATAAATGTATATAATGCCTCCTGTCATCACTGACAGATTGACATTAATCAAAAGTTCTATATAAAAATAGAAATTTTATATTAAAATACGATTTCTGGTAAAATATAATGCAAAAGTCGTCAGTAAAATGACACTATACTTGACTGAGTCCCAAAGGGGCCTCGTATTTTCATATTTCCTCGTCAGTAATGTGTCATTTTCCTGATTTTTATGTCCTCTAGCGTTTCTACAGATGTTCCATTCTACCCAAAAAAGAATCATTGTTAGCACTTCAAAAAAACGACACGACTGCGTTTGTCAGGTGATTATCTGAGGCAAATTTAGATGTTTGAACATAAAGTGCAATTGATATGTAACAGCGCCGCTTTTGTGGTTCCTTTGTCTTTGCATTCAATAAGAAAAACGCCCTGACGATCCCAAAAAAATGGTCGCCATTTATTTTCTAGACGAGGCCTGGGTTTTTGCCTTTTTTGTAGGTGGTGGGCCCTCATGGAACCTCTGCTTGATATTTCTGAAGGCTTAAGAAATTTAGGTATATGAGCTTTATTGCTTAGTACTTGGTAGTAATAAAGTATACGTACCTAAATGTATTGGGGTTGTATTGTACCAGTATTACGTAGCTGTAATGTAATCTCTACAGAAAACATTAAGCACGTTCACACGAGTGTAAATTACAGTCTCATTCACATTCAAGCAAGACTCCTGTCTTGATTAAAATTTTCCATGCACGTAATATTTTCATATTTTCTTACTGTATAGTAACGTGACGGAAGCCAACAAAATATTGAAGAAAGTCCGGTTTTATTTATAATTGCCAATTCCGTTTAATTCTACTGAAACATAAGAAATGCGGAAACCTGACCTGCTTAATTTAGTGAGTTCATGAGCAAATATACATTGTACTGTGACAGCACAATTTAAATAAAATTTGCTAAAAACCATAGCATTGTTTAAACATTTAAGAATGGTACCAGTTCATATTCCCGTACCAGCATAGCGCAAACAAGCACTTCACTTTCTGAATTTACTAAGATTACGCTACAAACACTTATAGCGCAATTATAGATTATTATATAGTAATTCCAAACATCGGAGGGAAGGTGCCCATACACTCGTTCCCAATTAATTGATACCATAACATAAACAATTAAATTTGCCGACCCAGAGTTCCACATACCCAAGAATATTGACTTATTGCTAGGTGCAGGGCTAATTTGGAATTTATTATGCATCGGACAATTAAAATTACCCAACAAACCAGCCATATTTACAAAAAACCAAGTTAGGGTAGTGTTGCAGTTTTTGTGTTTGAACATTTAAATATAAGATAAGCAATCGAGGGAATAAAACAATATAGAATTGTCAGTTAATGAAACGTTGTATTCGATACTAAAACCTATTCGCCGATTCACGAATCAAGTTGTTTTACACTGAGAAAATTCAGTACATGGTCTTATCGAAGCCGGATTTGTGATTTGGAGAATAGGGAAAAGGAGTCGATCAAAGGGAGTTTCAATTTAAGCACAAGAAGTTGTCGTTGCAGAAGCAGCAATTATTAGCTGAGATTTGCAGAAGAGTCCTGATACACAGAAAGCGGAAACAGATTCACTCACTAGCCTACATATATGCTCAATAATTGTTGGGAAATCGGGATCGTGTGAGTCTGTTTCAAGGATTTGAACGAATTTCATTTTTCTGTGCAATAAGCAATAAGGTATGTTTGACTGACTTGGTCAGTGGCAAGCAAAAATTGATTATTTATTAACAAAAGGCTATAATACATTTCAAAGTTTTTGCCATGCCAGTTTTTAAATCAATAGATGAGGTTTGAGGGCATAGCATTAAATTGCGTGGTGTGCTCAAGCGCAAAATAACCAAGTTTTTCAATTATGTCTCAGGTATTCGTCTAATGTCAGTGATATAATGGTAACGCAGTTGCAATATAAAAGGTAAAAAATCTTTAAAGGATTGAGAGACTTGGATGCAGTATTTGACTACCGGGCTGAAGTTGAAGATTTGTATTTCAATGCTATAATTCAATTCAATTCAATTGGAAAGTCAATCATTAAAATCTACTTCATTAGAAGGTGGTAATTCAATCACTGCAACTAAGAACTCAAGAATTATGACCGAAGAATCAATATCAGCCATTATTAATGAGTCCAATTCTGAAACTGTTGGCCATTATACTACTAGTGCTTTAAATCATGTATCAGAAGTTGTAAATATATTCACCCTGTTGTAAATAAAGGTTCAATCAATTCAGTAAAGTTTAAATTACCAACTATTTAACTTTCAGGAACTTTTGACGAGTGGTAGGAGTTTAAGACTAAATACGTATTCCATGATTCATAATAATAATTCTATTTGTGATACTGACAAATTTGATTATTTACGTTCATGCCTTATTGGTTCTGCGCAGAAATAATATCCTCTCTTGATTTTAGTGGGGCCAATTATCAGACAGCATGGGAATCTTTGGTAAAAGGGTTTAGCAAATCAGGGTTATTGGTCCATAATCACGTTAAAGCAATTATGGAATTACCACAGGTGAAATGTGACTCTTCAGTTCAGAATTTCGCTGATAAAACAAGCAACATTTACACTGTTGGCCTATTTTAGGGGAACCCATAGAAAGTCTTTGTTAAAACTAAAGTTGATTTATAATTACGTGCCGAAGTTTTTTGGAAAATGTTAAAACCAGAAATTATTATCATTATTATCAAAATGTGGTATTACATGGCACTTTAAATTGATCCCCACCGATTCCACAACTATATTTTCATATCGCCCAATAAAGGAAATACTCTGAATTTTCCAATTTTTTGAATTAAAAGGATTTTGTTGTGTTAAATGAAATCAAATGTATAACTAAAACTCTTTTGTCCCAAAATTCTCAGTCAGATCTAAACCGAGAGATAAAAAAAATAGCTATTCGCAATTCAAAAGTTTTGTCATTGTATCAATCTTTAGTGTTTTTTTTTCAAAATAAAAACATTACCCATGCGTACAAATTTTATTTCAGGAACATTGGAAATCGCTTCTTTTGTACACTCCTGATTGCCGTCTTAAATACGTCATCTACTCTTAGGTATTCTTTGATGGAACATTCAACAAACCCTGCGGCGTCTATTAAATACATTAAATCTTCACCCTCCTCCTTTGACACATAATCCTCCGCGTTCCTTCTACCTTCGCTTTCCGTACCTAAGAACGTTAAAATGACATTAACGTTTTCGTCATTAAAGGTCCATTGTTACGTTTATGAAAAGCACAATAGAGCCGCTTACGTCAAGGCATGCTCCGCATTTAGAAAATAATGCAATTAATTAACACGACATTTACCTACTAAGACTAAGGGCACGTGACGCAAACACCGCCTCACTTCAATACACCACTTCGCAACGTTTTCAAAAGACGCCCTACTTTTAATCGAGTAACACAAGAGGAAACAGTCCGCCTAAAATAAATGGTTAAATAAAAAAGCACTCCAGATAGAAATGTCACCTTTTCGTAATCCTTCAAGCGCAAGCTTTTGAAGACGTCTTCACTCTCGGCGTTAACAAAATGAACGGAGTAAAGTGCTCGATCCACCACCACATTTTGCACGTTATTCGTAAAGCTAAAAAAATTGTGCAATTAATCTAGAGTTAAAAGTGTAGTTACATGCAAGGTTTAAATTCGTCCCTCAGCTTCTTGTCCGTGGTATATTTCAACAACAAATCCGTCTTTTTGCTGTCGTGGTCTCCGACTGCCACCAACGTAACATTCGTGCACCTGGCCATTGTGTTTAAGTAATTATACAGATTGGGCGAGACTCATAGTTCCGCTATCGGGTGACGTCAGTCTCTAAGTGATACATGTTTGGAGAACAAACACTCGGGAACTCCAACGCAAATATTCAAAAAAGATTAGCACGTTTCGCATGCTCTTGAATAACAGACTGTAATTATTTCAATGACGTTTGTGGTAACAATGAAACTATTGTTTTCATTCCGGCGCTCAATATGACATTCGTATCAGCGGGTGTTTGCGGGCTTTGAGTGGCATAGGAGCCATTTCGATTCTCCGGGAAATAGATTGCCTCTCTAATGTGAGAGGAAATTGCTTTTAGTTTTCAAAAATCGGTTTCCATTATGTTTACCCATTGAATTAGGGAGCATTTAGTAGGTAGGTATTGAATAACTAAGCTTACAATTCAAGTACGAAGTACAAGTTTTTTTTTAATAGGGCAGCGTTTGACAGAAGTTGTCCACCTATGGAACAATTAAACAAGTAGTTTTTATAAGTTATCAATATTAAATCACGTGACTTCTTTTCGTTTTCTTTTGATCTACTATCCAACTCGGCCCATTTCTTGAGACAGTTGTAACCTATACTCGTAATGAACTGTTGTATCTATGTTTACACGAAAATATGCACGGGTTTGAGTTTCCACCGGCTATTTACACGGATGTAATAAACAACGGTTTGAAGTATATGAAGTAAATCGACACTACTACCAATAGTAAATAAACTTAACAAATATAGAAAATGAGCTCCTGAGTATGGCTATAGAATGTGCAAAACCAAATTTAAACCTGATGTTCGTTTTGCTTTTATTTAAAGTGTATATGTATGAAATTTCATTTAATTGCTTCCATAAATAAGAAAGTTGGCACTGCACATCCTACACAAAACCAAATTTGGAAAATGGCGCTACATTTGCTTTTATTCCAAGTAGCTATGTATCAAATTTTATTTAAATACCTTCATAAATAAGAAAGTTTGCAATTCGGTCTGTAAATGATGGAGATGCGCAAAGGGCAATGTGAATGCTGATCGATTAGGCTCAACTTTTGGAATTGTGTTTTATATGGCTAAAGCTATGCGCATATTGAATTTCATGCAATTCGGTTCATAACTAACGGAGATGTCAAAAGGGCCTACTTTATTTTTTGGGCTACATTGCCAATTCACGAACTCCGATCTACAAATTTGATAAAGAATCCACCTGCAAAATTTCATCGTAATCGGTCCATTCGTTTATTGTTACCGTGCTAACGGACGGACGGACAGACACCGCAAAATTATAAACTCGCTAGGAGCTCGTTAATAATGAAACTTGTCATACAAATTTGAGCTTGTGAGGACCAGACTATTAAAACCCGTGTTATTTCTAACATGGGCTCTAGTAACGCTACACCCCTTGCCCAACAGGCGAGCTATACTAAAACTTGCTTCAAGAAAATCAGCGTAAGTGGCGTTTATGCACACTGTTTTATGCAGGCTTTGATTATCGCGTAGATCAGTGTTATTTACAAACACTAATTGGAAGGGTGTAGGTATAATTGTTAAAAGTTGTGTAGGTGTTGTGTAGGGAATGCAATCCCGCAGCAAAATCTCAATCCCGGTATTTGCGGGATCGTTAGATGTTAATCCCGCGAGATCCCGTAAAATTTTAAATAAATTGGCAAATAAGCAATTTTGTGCGGGTAATTTCTGTATTAAAATAAATCGCTAATTATCACAATATTTAACAAGAAAGTACCTTCGGCTTAACTTAGAACTCAAAAAAATCACCTGTAAAGCACAAAAAGGTGAACTTCTAAAGTGCCTCAAAAATCATAGTACATTTTTAACGAAAAAAGTTTAACAATTATTTTAAAAATAATTTCTCCGTTATAAGAGTCGTCCCCTTGGTCGACAAATTCCTCAGTCCCGCAAATCCCGCGGGATCCCACTCCATTTATGTGCGGGATTAATCCCGCAAAAATGCTGCGGGATCCCGGTATTTCGGGATCCCGCGATCCCGATATTGCATTCCCTAGTGTTGTGTTATACGAAAATGCGAAGTATCTAATCCACGTATCCCAATCTAACAAAGCGTCATTTTCTTGACATACTCATCGTACTTTCACATCCCCCTATGAAAAGTTCCCCAAAATTGCGTTTGCTACAGTTTATAAGTTAATTCATACTGCAATATTACAGCGTATGAATTGCCATGATCTTATCTCGTAAACCGCAAGAGACACAAAATCTGTTAAAGTTATGCAAAATTGTATACTGATTAATTATCCTATTCATAATTTCTTGTCGCTCTTCAAATAGCAACGTTATGACCAAAAAACGAAAAAATATCATTTTCGAAAATGCGCTGGGGTTCATTCATTTTCAAAGATATCAAAAAATACTTTAACAAACTCTTAGTGATTTTTCTTAGCTTTCTGATGGTAGGTAGTAAAATAAAATTTTGTTGACTTGTGGGTTTCGAGTAAATCACATCAACTTTCTTATTTCTTATGAACGCCATATTGGATTTTGATGCCACTCGATAGAGAAATAACTTACAAAATTAGCGATACCAAATACTTAGTATTTTATTTGGGAATTAATCCTGAATTTTTGTCTTAAAGTTTACAATGTATTTCTTATAGCAATAATTCCATGGCCGTGTCGATGGTGACTATGCGAGACAATAAACAAATGAATTTGGTTTCAATCACAATCGGCCATGGAATTATTGCCATAAAAGTACATTGTAAACTTAAAAGCAAAAATGCAAGATTAACTTCTAACTAAAATACTAAGATGGATGGACATACAGAGTGGCATTTGTCTTTATGGGATCCCTACAGCTCGTCTCATTAAAATAATTGAGAAATAAAAAGGAACCTAAAATTAATCCCTGTGGAACGCCCTCTTAATAGGTAATTTGTCATGCATCGTACACAGCATACTGAAATCTGCCAGATGGCACGAATTAATTAATTATGGGCTAATTGGATCAAACTTGTACAATTTTGTAGTTTGATTACTTAATCCATGGAAATGCAAATACGTGAAATAAATAAACTCTAATCAAATCATGAATACTCCACATTTTAGTAAAATAAAAGGGGTAACGGAAGGTATTACAAATCCATTAGATGGCACGAAATCGTCGATAGTATTTTGGGCTTTTTAGCTAATTTGATAACCATTTTAAATTATTTTTATTTTATAGCATACGTTAAATTGACCTTTTAATACTTTTAATTTTAACATTTTTACCAAAGAGTAACAATTTTTTGATTTTTACAATGATTTATGTAACTTCTGCTATAAAATAAAGTTTTGTATTATACACGACGATAAAGGGAAACTAACCATCTCGTGAAAGTTAATTTACTGGTGACTGCGTCACTCATGAATTGACATCTTTCACTCAAGGGTTAAAATATCCCTTTATCGTCTTATACAGGGTGAGTTTTTTTTTCATTTAAAGCATTGGGATCTCGGAAACGATAAGACATACAGATTCGGTTGAATGAGGAAAAAGTTGTCGTTTTAAGAGCTTATTTAAGATATGCTTTTGTGTGTTTGAAAAAATCCACAGTTTACTAGATATGAGCGAAAAACAGATTTAGTGATTTTTCATTTAACTGTTGTAGAACACAACACCCCAATTTTACCCAGAAAATCAACTAACGGAAAAAAATCGTATGGATTACTAATAAATTTCAGGGTAGTTAAATAGGTAGCTTATTGCTGCCAAATTTCCATTATCTCGTATAGGTAATATCTGAGACCAACAGATTGGTAGAGAGAAGTTGTTTTACGTGCGATAGGCTTAATTTCAGGATTTCATCAAATACCCTTACTAGAAGGGTTTGCGAAATTTGACATCCTTCAGCGTTGATTCAGGTTCCTATCGAATTAAAACGCTAGTATCTAATCTACCTTTTGCGGTTAGTCCAGTTTTCAACGGATTATGTGTATGGCATTTGACAAAATCACACTTGAAAAAGCATTTCTGTACCTTAACGATTTAATAGTGACAGATAGAGGAGGAGTGTTAGACACGCAATTTAAACTTTCAAAGAATAATTCAAATTCTCTCTAGAAATTTATTCTTACTACAGACGCTTCAAAAGGCGCTTGCAAAGCGGTCTTTTATCTAAATCTTGACGGTAGCGGGTTAAAAGAATAGAGTAAAAAAAAGAGTATATCAAAAGGAAGGAAAATACAGATGCCGATGCCGACGCATTATCACAGTTATCAGATAAATAAGCATTGGCGCAGAGCAAATATTATCTATTAGCAGTAACCACAAACGATTACATGTTCATACGCCGACAAAAACCACGTCCGAATCAAAAATAATGAGGTACATATTAAGTTTACCGTTGATAAATGATACCAAAATTAGACTGGAGGCAACCCTCCCTACATGTAGCTAACTAACAAAATATTATGGGATTTTTCCCGTCGGATAATGTTTTTCTTCTCTCCCTCGAGATAAAATTTATTCGAACGGTTTCACAATTAGAAGCAAGCATAATTTCTACTTTCATGAATGTTTTAATGAAATGGGTTTTCAATTGCGTTTCCGAAACGAAAGCTCAGAAATATACAAAAAAAATGTACAGAATCAATATGCATTCAGGATTCAAAGAAATACAATTAGTGCACTCTCTAAATTTATAAATAGTACCGTAACCTGCTTCGAACAGGGCCAGTATTCACTAGCACTGTCATTAAAAAAGTATCACTTTCAAAACTAGTTGTACAAGACAACTGATTTTGAAAGTGAATTCGCCATCATTAATCAAACTGGAAATTCATGAAAAAAGGACACTTTCAACACGTTTTGTACACGACATTTTTTGCATAGCCTTAGTAACCCATAATTGAATAATATCATTGACATTCGTGAAGTACTGTCACTCAAAAGTTGAGTTATTGTTCATAGACAGCCGACAGGACTAAACGCCATGGAAACGCATAGTTATCGTGAAAAAAAGTACCACTTTCCATACGATTTTTTACAAAAAAAGTCCGCTAATTAGATCCCTATACAAAAAATACCTATTGCCTGACGCTGTCAATGGCAACGAGAACTTTTTATACGGTGCCAATGCCAACGCACATGACGATGACGTCCAAAATGTCAAACTGTCATGAAATGAGCTAAGAAATGTCATGTTCTTTTGACTTTTGAAGAAACCTTTTCAAGTTTTACACTTGATGTTTTCTGAAACTACAATCAAAATTGAAAAATTATCATATGGAATAATGAAGTTTGACCCATAGTAATCTAGATTCGGGTATGCTTCAATTTTAAATGTCATATTATTAACATTAACGCGACAATTGTTTTTTACTTTCCTCACTAGAGAGGAAAATCATATTTTGTTTGCCCTTTTTATAGAGGAAAGTAGTTCTTGTTCTGTATGGATGTTCGAATGTTAAAGAATGCGCTCTTTGTTTTTAATTTCGAACGACGTCTATCTTTTAACTAACACTAAGATTGTACACTTAATTTCTACGTACGGTTTGGCACACAAATATTCTTTTGCGTAGTTTAACTAGGCAATTTCTGTGGTGAACAAAACATAACGCTCATTAACTCAATTTTTTACACCGGAAATTCTACGCCTTGATTAGAAACAATAGTAGAGGGACCAAACCAACTGTTCGCTTTCAAGCTGGATGACCAAACTCTAGTCGCATTCACAGAAATCGAAGCTTCTATGGACCGTACTCTAACCAGCTTGATTACC